TAAAGTGATAAGAAAACCTACAAATGGGAGAAAATATTTGTAAACTACATCTGACCAGGAGTTAATATATAGAATATATAAGGAACTCAAAAAACTCCATAGTAATGAAACAAAAAATGCAATTAAAAATGGGCAATAGATCTAAATCGATACTTCTCAAAATAAGGTATACAAATGGCCAACAGGTGTATGCAAAAATGTTCACTATCACAAATCATCAGGGCAATGCAAATCAAAACCATGATGAAATACTGTTGCACCCCAGTAAGAATGGCTGTTACCACAGAGACACAAGGCAGCAAGTTCAGGTGAGGAGGTAGAAAAAGCAAACCTTTGCATACTGTTGGAGGTAATGCAAATTAATATAGCCACTGTGGAAAATGCTATAGTATGCAAGTTCCTCAAAACATTACACTGAAGTATGACCCAACAATGCCAGTCTAGGGTACACAGTCAAAGGAAATGACGTCAAAAGGTAGGTTAAAAAGACAATTGAATTTCCATGTTCATTGCAGTACTATTCACAACAGCCAAGAAATAGGAAAAAAACTTTAAGTCCCCATCAACTGATGAGGGGATAAACAAAGTGTGGTACATATATAATGGAATACTATTCAGCCATAAAAATGAAATCCTGTCATTTCCAAGAGTATAGGTGAAGTTAGAGATCATTATGTTAAGTGAAATATACCAGACACAAAAAGATAAATACCATATGATCCTACTCGTATGTGGAACCTAAAAAGGTTGAGCTCATAGAACAGTAGAGTGCTGACTACTAGAAGCTGGGGAGTATATAGGTGTTGGAGAGATGGGGCACTAAGTCACAGTTCGAAAGAAGAAAGAAGTTCTGGTGTGCTATTGCATGGTAGGGTAACTATGGATAATGTTAATATACCATGTCTTTCAAAAAGCTAGAAGGAAGGCTTTTGAATTTTTTCACCATAAAGAAATGATAAATGTTTGGGTACATAGATGTGTAATAAATAATAAATGTATCTATCAAAACACCACATGTTATCTCATAAGTATGTATAATTTTTGTTTCTAAGTATTAGTGAAAATAAATTTAATAAATAAATGTAATATAGCCTTAAAACAAAGGGTAAAAAAGTTACTGACATAAAAACTGGAATATAATCTAAGAATTTTCAGGTAGGTCATATTTCAATCTGAGAATTTTCCTAATCATAACAATATGTCTTTAGGATTGTCACAAACAGCAAATACTACAAAAAGCAGATATTATTTTGTGCATTTACTGCAAGGTTGAAATTATGCTCAATGGTGGAACATGTATTTAAACCTAAAGTATCAATACTCAGTGCTAAATGTGGTCATATTCAACTTGCACCGCAAGACCGGCTGTTAAAACAGACTCTGAGATAAAGGTATTCCAGGGGAGGGAGTGGCGGATAGAGACTTATTTGTGGTTGGAGAGAACGACAAAGCCAGAAAACGTCATCTATTGACAAAAGAGAGCCAGAGAGACACACCAGAGGTCACATTAAGTTAATACAAGTCCTCCCTGAGATAGTTTCTGGAGTACTCGGCAACAATGCTCTTTTTTTGTCTGGAATCAATCATCCTGGGACTACAGGTGGCCAAAGCTGCCACAGAGAAAGTGTTTACTTGAGATTAAAAGTAATAAAGAGAAAGCACCAAGAGATAGTGAAAGGAAGGGAGAGAGACAGATGTGTGAACATGCCTGTGACCTTAATGCATCTTCTAAACATCTGGATTCAGCCATACTGGAAGACCTTTGATTTATCAGCTTCATGGGTCAATGCAGTCATTTTAGTTCAGTTACTCTCAAGCTTTCAACTGAAAGAAGCTTACGGGAGACAGGTGTAGCTGAAGTTGAGGGAGAAAATACCCAAAGGACAGGAACTGGGACCAAGGACTGTAGCAGCACAAAAGTGAGAGCAGTGCCTTGTGCAGTTAGCATCTGGAAGTGGGGAGGCCCTTTAATATGTAAGGACGATAGAGTGACATTTAGGTAAATACTAAAAGAAATTTAAAAATTACCTTGAACGTATCATCACCTCTTGTCCCCTGACAATGTTTGACAAATCAAACTTTCTTCAGGATGACACAAATATTTCAACTGGCTGAGAATCGTGCTCTATACTATCGGAAGGAAAATTCTACTATGAAAATAACTTTTTGAAAACTTTCTCTAGTCAATTATATTTATAGCTTCTTAAGTTTAATAAAGGATGGTTTTTACAATACCAAATAGTTAACAGGACATGGAATAAGAAATAAACCTGAAATCTTGTCTTTTCTCCCACCCTCCTGTGTATCCATGAGTGTAGAATAAAAGGTCACTATTTTCTTCATGATACCTACTATCTGGGCTTAGTAATGCTTTAGTTGTAATAATCATCTGGTTCACTTTTCAAAAGAATAATAAAGAGCTGTTCGTACTCCCCTGGAGAGTCACACTGACATGTAACAATCAAAGTAACCCATAATCAGAGAGTCCTCTACTTTGTTCAAATACCAATGGGCATCACTCCTCGGAATTCACAGAGCAGGCAAGAGTGGTTGAACCAGGCTGGTTGCATCAGGATAAGCTGAGATCCCTCAATGCTTTCTTTCAGCAAAACACCAGAAATAGTGATTACAGTTCATTTGGGTTTTCCACTGATCGTCAAAATGCTGACAGTCACTTAAATCACTCACTGGGTGGAATAATCACCCTAAAGAAACTGAGAGGGTACAACTTATATGATAAAATGAAACTGAATACACAAGACAGAGTGTTAATGGAAGTGGTAGAAGAAATCTGTGTCAGAATAACAGATGATTAAAGATATGAATTAGACATCATCTCTACTGGATAGTCATAGTGACAAGAACACAACAGCTAAATGTGCAATTACAAACTTAGGCATAACTCACAGAGCATCTTTCTCCTTTTGAGAGCAGTTAATGCCATATGAGCCTGTCTGAGTCACTCAATGGCTTGCTAGAGAGGCTATGAACCATCTCACCTTGTAGAGCCCTTTGTGAATGGACAAGAATAGATATCTGAAATGCTGTGCCATTTGAAATAAGAGACTGTATTATTAAATATGAGATAGTGCTGGCCCACAACATGAGAGGGCCCAGTAGACATCACTAAGAAACTGGCCCAAACACTAGCAGGAACCAAAGAAAACCAGGGATCTGGTCTTCTCTACAATTGTTCATTTTGCAATTAGCGGAGAGAAAATTCGCTCTTTCTTTTTTTGGGGGGGGGATAGGGGTATGGATTAGGTCTAGGAGATAAAATGGGTTCTTTCAACTACCATTTGTGATAGAATTGACTGCTCTTACAGGATTATAAAAGTCAGAGGGGCCTTTCCAGGGTACCTCTATACGTAGTTTGCGTAAATGTAATACTGTGCCCAAACTACCCTTACTAGGTACATACATTTCCTAATCTTACAGATTTCTGAGAGTAATTTTACCATCAGAAAAAAGTAATATTTTAAGTAAAATGTATCAAAATAAAAGTACAGCCAGGTGGGACGGTGTGTACCTGTAATCTCAGCTACAAGGTAGACTGAGGCAGAAGGATGCAAGCTCGAGGCCAGCCTGCACAACTTAGCAAGATTCTGTCTCAAAATAAAAAATAAAAAGCATTAGAAGTATAGGTTAGTGATACAACATCCCTGGGTTCTATCTCCAGAAATACAAAATAAAATGAAAATTAAAAAATGCAGTATACATGAAATTCTTTTATGAAGATTGTTAAAGCAGATTATCCGATCTCCCTTACAAGCTCATTCTCTCAGTCCCTTGTTCTCACCATGTTTTGATCTTCATATGGGGCCACAATCACCCTGAGACCATGTATGCAGTCCGCCTTCAAGGGACTTCTTGACTCTGGCTGTGGGGCTTGTATTTCCCGAAAGAGTTTACCCCTGTGAATTTCAGTCACTATTCTTCCTTCTCTAGGCTGGAATCATGGTTAATCAAATAATGGTAACTTCTCAAAGGACAGTGGTAATAAATAACTCACGCCGAAGTCACAGTCTAAATAGAGTAAGCATTTTCTTTCCTGTAATCATCTGACAATTAACCCTCATAGGAAATTCAAAGCTGATTTCACTGTTTTCTTCTTCCTGCTGATGCTCTGCTTTTTAATATCCCATTTCCATCTCTATTCATGCATCTGAACCTGATTTTTCCTTTATTTTTTCTTCCCATCAGTTTTTCTTGGCTTTTATTTTAACAATATCATAAATATTCCTGAAGTAATACTTTTAAAAAGTTATTTATCGGGGCTGGGGATTTAGCTCAGCGGCAAAAGCGCCTGCCTGGCAAGTGCAAGGTCGTGAGTTCGGTTCCTGGTACCGGAGAAAAACCAAAAAAAAAAAAAAAACAAAAAAACAAAAAAAAGTTATTTATCTTACAGTTATTAAGTCTTATATGCATTAAAGTTTTAAAATTGTTTTTGAGTTATTGGTCCTTGATAGAAAAGGAAGTTTCTAATTCTCATTTCATACCCCATTCCTTAATATCCTTGAAATATTTGTTATCTCTCAGCAATCTCTTTTCCAAAATAATTGTTGTCCTCATAACCTTTACTTTCTAGCACCTTAATCACTTTCATTATTCTCTTTTTAGACACTTTTTCTAAGCGTGGCTCTGTCTCAAGTTAAAATGAGAACACAGCTGTGCACTCAGCCTGAGTGAAACACTGCTGCCCCCGAGAAGTTGCCGTAGTACCTTCTGCTCTTGACGCAAGGTGGTTGGAGCTGACATAACTTTATGTTGCTTGGGTTTAGAATCAAGCTATGTTAACACGAGCCTTTCTTGGCTTCCCACACCCCCCTCAAGGGAAACTCAGGTTAGTTCCTTCCCAAGAATCTGAAGTAGAGGATACATAACCAGATTCGTTTGACAACCTGGACATGTGCCCATCCAGGGACAGGTGCGTGCACACGCGTCAAACGAAAGCAAGTTCCTCAATCATCTCTATAACTGCTGCTTTACTAGAAACTTACTCTGAGATGTAGAAAGGTTGGAGAAAGCTGACTTTGTTCGGCCTGCCAACCATTCCAGGCTTTCATGCATGTTAGCCAAGGCTTTGAGGTCACTGACGTCACGGAGGATGTCTTGTGGAGGGATTAATTTATCACCCAGGTTTCCAATTAGAACTTCAGACTCCTTGCCAAAGGCTGCCCTGAAAAAAAAAAATCAGATCCATATTTCACTTGCAGCATGGCAAAGGGAAAGGCAGGCAACACTTTTTAAGGCATGCCAAGCAGAATGATTGTTTTAATCACTATTTCATGCATGCTCTTTTCCCTAGGTTTAACTTTGCTAGAAAACTGTTAATGCCTGCTTAAAATTATTCCTGTAGGTGAAAGAGTTATTGAAAGAAGAAAAAACTGACCCCATTGGTGAATGATCAGCGGGAATCAGTATGGGCTTGAATGATACAATGACAGTCCCCAGGGTTGGCTTCTATGCTACTCTCTTATGGATTATTTCCTAGTTTCTTCTCCAGCTATGCAAGCTGATGAAGTTAGGGTGCCAAATATGTATATGATTTTCAGATTATTGTAATAAAAATGGAACAACCAAGTTAATCTGGTGGCTAGAAAGTATTTTAAGATAGTAAAAAACAGACAGTACCCTGCCTTTTTAGGAGAGCTTATAGCTGAGATAGATGAAAGGTTTCATTCATTTACTTTTTCAAGAAAAGACCCGAGACAAACTATAAGCATTAAAGTATTCATCATTTGGAAAAAGAAACCAATCAATGCCAGGATTCTTCTGCTAACTGGAAAAACATTGAGTGGGTTTCACATAGAGCCTAGTATCTTCCAAATGTTTTTCAGAGGTTCAAAATTCAAGTTACATGGAGTTACGAAGGACAAAGCTGGAGAACACATGGCACAGCTACTGTGCAGACAAAGGACAGAGGCTGGGAAAGTGAACTACTTTGTCTACAGAATACACAAGTGACGGGACTGGGGCTCAGGCTGCCTAGTTTCAGTAGGTCTCTTTCAAAAAGAGAGGGCCGAAATGAGAACTGGTAATTGTAGATGGTAGACATGTCTTTTCAGGAAAGTTACCTGGGGTAGACAGGTGGAGCAAATGCTGGAGGAGGACACAAGAGGAACCTGGAGTTTTCCCAGGGCTTTTAAACCTCAAAACACCTTAAGTGAGAAGATAGACAAAGGCTTCATTTAAGTAGAAAGCTCAAATTGGGTCTCAAGCAAGCAGTGACTAGTAACAGGTGAAATAGTCAGAAAGATGCTTAATTGACACACAGGCACTTAGTATGCAGCACTGCAGCAGATGCCTAATGTTAAGAAAAATTACTGCTATGAATTAAATGCTTACTAAAAATGTTTCTGTCATGAAGTAGCAACTCACGACTAACCTTATTTCAAGAGAGTTATCTTTTTATTTTTTAAAATATTCTTTGTAACTGTTCTTACTACTCGTTTGCAGAATGTGATGACTGCATTCATTGTGAGCAACTGGAACACGTACACAACACACCTTAATTCCTTTTTCTCTTCTCCCCTCTCCCCGCGCCTCTGAGGGGCATGGTTATGGAGGTAATAAAGTGCAGTGGGCTGCACAAATGCAATTGGTGCAACAAATCTCATCTACCATCTTGCACAAGATCTTGGGATGGGGCCCCAACGCTGCATTTGTAACTAACTTCCAAGTAATAAAAGGCTCTTTGTTTTGAGTCGCAAGGGTGAGAACACAGGCTTCAAAATGAAGAAAACTTGGGTTTGAATCCTGAATCTGGCATTTGCTGTGGGATGCTTTTTAACTTCCTTGAGCACTGCTGTCTGGGTGTTATTACTGATGAAATAATGGAAGGATTGGATGATTTCTGAAACTTTTTTATTGGAAAAACTTAAATAATAATAAAAATAGAGAAGAGTGCAACAAACTGCTATGTGCTGATTGCCCAGTTCAGCTATCAGCCATCCATAATAAATCCTGTTTCCTCTGCCCTCACCACTACCCTCATCAGTGCAGGGTGAAGCAAATCATTCAGGTGATGCTCTTAAGTATGTAATACAGTGCTTGGAACTTGGTCAAAGCAAAGAAGTTGTAGCTGATATTTTTCTCAGGTCTGTTAAGATGGCTAGTTATTTAGAGTCAACCCAAGGGATGTGATGATGAATAAATTTCAATAGATAAGCGTGAGCAGGAGGAAATAAGTTAGATCCTAAAGTAGTTTTTTAAATTCAACCACGTAACACCATAATGTATGTCACTGTATCCCACAGAATCTCCTAGATATAAAGTACTGTGACAGAAACAACTAGCTGCCAATCCAGTACTCATTACCCTAGGTCTTCCTCATAAAAGGACCCTAATATTGTTGGAGTCAGCAATGTGTCCAGCTTAAAAACAAAAATGAAACAAGATATCCTGCTAAATTTCCCTGCCTCTCTTGCAGATGTGGTGCTCCATGACTTGTGAACTGAAATCACCTGAGACTGCCTGTGCCTTTGCCATGCATAGAATGCAATCATAGCAACTGAGCTGCAGTAGCTCTTCTCAAACATCAGTTGACCTTGAGCATCGAAGTCAGTGCTGAGAATAATGGAGCTAAGAGATAAGAGATGGACACACTGATGACATCATGGAGCTGTGACACAGTCCCAGTCAATATGCTTCTGGGCTTCATGTCACAGAAGAGAAAATGAAACCCTCTTTGTTTAAGCCACTGTTACTTCAAGTTTCTGTTGCTAGCTGCTAAATGTAATTTCTCACTGACACAATCTTCTAATTAGCATAAGTGATGTCATCCTCAGGAAACTTTCTCTGAATTTAGATATCTCTAAAATCCAGTCACTGGGAAAAGCAAAACTATGTCTCTCCCATAATTTGAGGCCAGAAGACATTTATAATATCTTCCCCTGGGCTGTCACTCAGTCAAGTTGTAAATATTTAGTTTTCTTAATCTGCCCTCATGTATCAACTCTTCCAGTCCCTTAATCATCTTTGATAGATATAACACAAAAAATGCCTCTGAGCTGGGTAGTTAAAAAGCAACAGGGGAGGCAAACAGCTTTGAAAGCCAGGCTTGAAGCCATTTTTATGCATGTAGGTGTAACCCTGGGTAGAATGTGACAATCAAGACAAATGTTATTATGTAGAAGTCTAATCCGAGGTGCAGAGATGTGTGGGCCCCAGGCATGTCTGCGCTTTGCTTCTAGCGCTAGATGCCGATCCCATTTCCCTTTGGCTCACTGAGATTTGCTTAACCTCCTCAGACGGGAGAGCAACAGACTGAGAAAAATACAAACTGCCTCATGTTGAATACATAGCAGACATCTCATTTGACAGGAATCCATAATCACCCCCTAACAACCTGGAAAAAGCACAGAAACCATGACAGTGAGGATAACTGATTGACAGCTATAACCATTTCACACAAAAAATGATTCCTTCGAGGATTTGTGTGTGTGAAAGAGCTTGGTGGAAGGTTTTTATGTGTTATAATAACCTTAAAGTAATGGCTTGAGCTGCTTGACTACAGGTTTTTTCTAAGCCTTTTGATTTATTAAATTGTAGCATATCCACATTATGAAAAACTATGAAGTCATTAGAAATTACATGGTAAAGAATACTTGAAGAAGAATGTTTGATATAGCTTATTTTTAGCCACTGACATACAGTTGAATTAAACAACTATTAAACTGTATGCACTGTATCATACGTATTATTTTCATCATTAGAAAATAATTGTATATATATGACCTGAAGAAAAGATTGGATCTCAGTATACCAAAAATGTGAACTGTGTGACTGGATCAAGCTTTGTGTTTTTCTGTACTTTTCAAATTTTCTTGTTTTAAATTTTCTTTTATTTTTATTTTAAAAATTTAAAAAACAAAGCAACAATGAAGACAAAATCAAAACAACACAAAAACAACAAAAACGATACATGACCTCAAAACAAAATGATAGGAATTAATAGCGGTTGCTACATTACATACTGTTATCTTCAATGAAGTTGCTCAGTCCACCAGACATAAGAATGTAAGATTGATCAAACAATCAAAGACAGTAAGGAGTAATAAATAACAACAAAAAAATTCAAATTTTCTTTTAAAAACAAGTTGATTTTTTAAATAAAAGAAATACTTCAAATCCAACCAAACATGAGAAAACATTCAAGTGGGTACTTTACAATTTCCAGCATGAAAAACGGGAGGACAGGTACTAGAGCCAAGCTGGGAGGTGACAGGCAGCTGGCCTGAACCTGTGGCTCTCAGACTGCTAAGGATGCAGTCAGTCACTGTCCCCTGTAAGGTATCTCACTAGCAGAATGACTACCCTGCAACTGGACTAGAACTATTTCCACTTTTTAGATCTGAATTTTTACAGTCTTCATCTTCTGCTTATTATGAAAATATATTACATAATGAAGACTATGTATTTTTGAGAGCCGCAGACAACAGTCTAATCACTGTGCTGAGAGGAGGAAGTAAGAAACTCAGACACTCAACTCATTGCCCCGAGATAATCTCACGTAGCCAAGAACAAAAAGAAGAACTAAAAACTTGTAGGTTTTAAGTACTGAATCTCATATAAAGAGCCATCTTCATAACTAGCTGGCCAATAAGCTCACACAAAAGCCTACAAAAACTGAAGAAGACTGTTAAACCTGCTAAGCTTAATTTTTACCATACAATTAAAAAAATTTTTTAAAGAGCTTGATCTGATAAGAATTGACTTGAGAATTTTGCCAAGAGTGTGAAACCTGTTTAATTTTACCATACAATTATAATCTTGGGTCTATCTGACAAGAATTCATTTAAGAAATTTGCCAGAGAGGCACAAAATTGTCCTTTTAAATAGTTCTATTATCCATGAAAAGAAGGCAAAAAAAATCTGCATCTTCAGTAGACTACATGAAATTATGAAAGGAACGTCATAAATGATTTCAAAGTGATCGATTTGCAGAGCTTGCCTTATCTGACCAGCAAATGCATTCTGACCTATTCTCCTCTCACCCTGCCCCCATCCCCAAATCTTCTACCACTGTTTTCTGTTGCTGAGCCCACACCTGAGATCACTGCTCAAGAAGTTTACGACACACTGCCTGAACGGTGAGTTACGGTGACCCAGAATGGAATCGGGAAGGACAAGGACTGGTTCCAATGGCAAAGCAGGAGCACAGACACTTCACATCAT